TGAGATAACTATTTGAAAGTGGATATACGAAATTGATTTATGGTTTACTTACTGAGCTTACACTCATATAGTTCTCGTAATGCAGGTAAGCTCGTAGATAGAAGTTTCAATTGACTAAGCAGGATTTGCAGGAATGGTCCAAGATTCCATGACGAGTTTAAAGATCCTAAGATTTGAATTTTTTTGTAAATCCAAGGATTCTGTTCGAGAATTGTAGTTGTGATAGATATTATTTCTCTATTACGCAGTAATGTTTTTATTTCAGTTAACGTTTATTTTGAGCTGGCGTTGTTTTTAACTGCTTACTCAAGAGGGCCATTACACTCATATGTTAGAGAAATTATATAAATGGAGATAAATTAGAGTTGTTTTATTGATGAGATAAACAATAGTTGAGAGTGCCACCAAGAAAAAAAAACATATGTAAATATGCTGATAAGAAAAATTGTTTTGGAAAACACGTAAAAAATAATAGCCTTTAATGAAAAGGACAAAATAAGGATTTATTTAAAATAAATTATTCTAATAAAGTAAACACACATTGTAAACAAAATTAGACTGTATAGGAACTTAAGAGAAAAAAAAATTAATAGAAAAAAGAAATGATAAAAAGAAAGAAGGTTCTAATGAATTATAGGTAATTATATACTTTTCAACAGTTAATTATGTCTCATACTTTTTTAACTTGATATGATTTTAATAATATCCAATAGTTAAAAACTAACTCTATTGATAGACTGACTTACTAAAGAAGGTCTTTAAAAAGAAATTAGGAAATGTTTATAAGAAAAAAATAAAAAAAGGCGATGTCTTTGTGTTAAAAAGAAGGAGAAGCCTCTTGTTATGTCACATGTTAAAAGGTGAGAAAATATTTTTATTATTTTACTCTTTTATGTATATTAAGATTATGATTAATAGAATAGGGTACAATAATATTTTTTTTTTGAAAATGATTATTACTTTTAATATTATTAGAAAACTTACATTATTAAAGTGATTTTTCTTAAAAATATTGACAATTTTTTTGTGTATTTTCATAAAACACGTGATACAAAAGTGATTTTTCCCCTTATATTATCATATTCTTAATTTTATATGAGTATAACGTGTTTAGACAGTTAAGAATGGTATCATTTAATATGTGGCTTTTCTTTAATTTACCATATAATTGTCTAAAAAATCTCATTTACGATAACATGATAAAGTATCTACAGTAGAATTATATTTTTTTTCGTTAATACAGTAGAATTCTGTTTGAATCGTCGTATTTAATTCTTTTAGTTTGTTAATAAAAAAACAAAATTCTTTTAGTTTATATATATGGATATATAGGGAGATCGAGGTAAATTGCCAAAATTTAAAAGGAATTAAAATTATGGAATTTTTTTAGTGCAACTAGTCATTTAGAACTACCGGTAAGTTCAATATTGAAAAACCGTAAATCAAAGGGCAGAACAATCATAGCTATATATACTTATGTGCTTATGCATTCACCAGAGTATTTATAATAATCGCAAACGTGGCTGCACCACTATCTTTTAACAAAATCAAAATAAATTTAGTTTTTTATATGATTTAGTGTTAATTTATTTTATATATTTAAACTCAAATTATTATCTCTGTTATAATATTTTTTTCAAAAAAATTAAAATTTAAATATCAAAATAAAAATTATAATTTGAGTATATCTTTCAAATTTTTATAAATATTTAATTATAAATTTTAAATTATAATTTAAATTATAATTCATAATTCGTTATAATATTTTTCTCAACGTAAATTAAAAATAATTTTAATCACGTAATTCTAATATATATAACCAAACGTCCTTAATTTTCATTGGGACTCGATAACTTCTCTCTCTCTGTTTTTTTTTTCTTCCTTCTCCTTCATGGAATCATTCGTCCGTTCAGTTCTCTACAATTTTTTTTATTTATTTTATGAAACTTCTCTGTAAATGTTGGCTTAAATGAGGGGGAAAAAATGCGATGTTTGTTAAAATTTTCATCACTTAATATAGTATTTTTTATCATAAAAATTTAAATTTAATTTTTTTATTACAATATTATAACTCGTCATGCAAAAAAATAAACCTTAAATAAAAGAGGAAAGTGCTATATTAGTTTTCCAGTGTTGCGTTGGAGTTCTGAGGCGGCGCGACGTGTGGGCTCGCCGGAATTTGGCGGCGCGAATGGGTTGGTGCACGAGGCGGAGCTTGCGTTAGGAGAGGCGTTGTCGGTCTTCGCAGGGAAGAGAGATTCGCTGGGTTTCGCGGCAGGGATTAAATCGGAAGATCTGAGTTTTCTGCATATGGTCCTACGAACTCAGATCCGGCAACATAAGATGAAAGATTTCTTGGTATCGAGAATAACGAAGATCAAAAGCTCGATATTTAGTTCCTTCGAAAGTTCGAAATGGGCAAATATAGGAGTAATTGTTTCGAGTTTGACTAATATATGGGATTACTAAAAAAAAAAAAAGAGTAACCTTCTTGCAATAAAAGATGAATTCAAAATTTGCAGAAAGTGTGCTCTTGGGTTCAACGGAGACAAATGGTGAAGATAGCTGCAGAGTGTGGAGGGAGATAAATAGCAAGTTTTTAAATTCTTTAAATTACTTTGTAGGTCCCACAATAATCCAGTGGACAGACACGTGGAGGCTAAGTAACCCTACACGTGATACGGAATTATAACTCTGCGCCACGTCACACAGTTCATTTCCGGTTGCCACATAATTTGATACACTGTAGTGGAGTGCATACTGTTATCATACACCTTAGACATGACAGCCAATAGAAATTGTACTATGTAGTCCCACGGGAGACATTTCCTAAAATTTAAAAAAATAGGGGAAAAAAGGAAAATAGTAGGGGTAAAAAGTGGAGAGATGCTATTGTTTGGTGTGTATTTAACGCGCCACATAGAGAAGATGCGTCCGCAACCACCCAACTATCGACAAAGAAAACTCATAATATACAGACCTTTTGTGTTTTCACCTCCTGATTGGCTCTTCTATGTACCATATTGTACGATGTATGTGACCCAATTTCCCATTTTCAATCTTTTCACTCATAGGGCTCAGTCCCGTCTGTTTCTCTCTCTGTTTTTTTTTTTTTCTTTTTTTTTTCTCTCTCTCTCCGCACACACAAAAAAGGAATTTCTTTTTCTTTTTTGACAGTGCACCGAGGATTAACTCTAACGTTAATACATCCACAGAAAAAGTAAGACCGGGATAAAGCCGCACCCAAAACTGTCACGTGCGTGTTTCTTTTCCATTTTTTCTCTAATATAATTGTTTTTTCATCAAGAATTCTCTCCTCATTTTTTATGAATCTAACTATTATTTTCGAAATCATGTTGTAGTTGTACAGTCGAAATAATTAAGTATAAAATTTAATTATATTTGCCTAACCGCATTAGGTAATCTATGCTATAGTACCAATTAAAGCCCTCTATTAATTTCTTGTCCGTCTTTTTTGAGCAATGTTAGTCAACTATTAATATTATATCACTTTAATCTTTGATTTTTTAAGAAAATTAATTCTTGAACGTATATTTAATTTTTTGGAAGATTTTGGTCTCGACCATAAAATTAATTATAGATGTATAAAATATAATAAAAGCAATTATGATTCCCTCTCGTGATAATTTAAATTCTGATAAAATTAATTATAAAAGTACTCTCTTGTTGGGAAACTATTATTTAAAACTCTTGAAATTTAAAACATTTTGTGCTTGATGTATCTTTAGATGTTTAGTTCATAGGTTAAAATTATGAGATTATAATTATTTTTAATTTACGTGTATTTTTTATGAGAAAAAATACTGTTGCGAATTATGAATCATGATTCAAATCTGGGTACGAATCCCCTTACCAAACGTTAATGTGGATGTGATTAGCTTTGTTAGATTTCGAGAATTAATAGTCAATTTTACTGTGAGTGACCAAAATTGCCAAGAAAAAAATACCAAATTTAGGGACTAATTTATCAAAATGACACATTTTGATAGTTTAGCGACTAACTGTTTTAATAACTTATTTTTCTTTGAAAAAATAATTTTTAGGATAAATTATGCAAATTTTTCACTTTTGTTAGGATAATCTTGATAAATAATTTTTGAAAGTGCATAAATAATGATTTTTACTATTTATTCTTAATTCAAAACCGTTTTAGTCAAATAATTACACTAATAAAAATGTATTTATTAAGAATAAAAAGTAAAAATTCACACTCATGCACTCTTACAAATAAATTCTCTATTTTTTCCTTTTGGCTAACACGTCTCTCTAACTTTAAAATACATCTATTGTGCCCCGTAATCTACAATATGTCTTTCTATTCACCCCTAAACTTCAAAACGTCCTATTATTTGGACACAATCGATGAGTTGTCGCTTGATTTAAGGTTAGATATAATAGTGTTTTATGAAATGCTCTTCGGTTCAAATAAAAGTGGGGCACCAAACCTCATATATATTTATGTTATCGTAGTAGTTGCTGGGATGAAAAAATGAAAGGGAAAAATATGAAAACAAATACTACTTTCATTATTAATGAAATTTATGATTTTTTTTCTCAGATACGTGTTATTCCACATAAAAATAGCACGTTTTAAAGTTAAGGGGTTAATATATTTTAAAGTTTAAGAGCTAATATATTTTAAAGTTTAGGAGCGTATAAAAGTGACATACTTTAAAAAGAATTTGTAAAATTTATCTTCATTTATATTGTCTTTATTCTTCGTTTATTCACTATATTTTTTCACCTAAAAATAACATTTTCTGTCCTTGTTATGGAAACCTGTTTTTTACCAAAACAAGCAAATGATGAGGTTTTCTTTTTACACCCTCCTAAGTTAATATAATATTAATAGTAATTATATATTTATTGTTTTGCTTCTTTTCCTTTTTTTTTTTTTTAGATGGGATACTGGGGTTCAAGGAAACCGTCCAATAAGAGAAGGAGAAGAGGGGCAAGATTGAGAAATGACTGATAATAATTATACACAACAAGAATAAGAAAGAAAAAGGTGGGTTTGTTTGCGATCAAGTAAGGTCAATCTCCTCTCGATCTCCCAAAACCCATCTCCCAAATCCTTAACTACAATCTCTCTTTCTTTTCTTCCATTCCCATAGTAATATTTGGCAAGCATCTTCCTCTTCTCTCTTCTTTTGTTTATGGTAATTTTCTTTTCTCTCTTTTTTTTCCCACGATTTCCGTCTGAGCTAGATCTTCTCCACTTTTAGCATATCAAGGACCCTCTGGGGTGAACAAGGCACTATTTGGGTCTGCTTTGTCTTTGAAGTCTTCTGATCCAGTCAACCAGAAACCCACATATATATATATAGTCTGATATTTTGTGAGAACAAAACGAACGACCCTTTTTAGCTTCTTTATATACACACATATAAATATATGTGTGTGTGCGCGCGCGTGTATATTTATCTCCTGGTCGCTTGCTCAGAATCTGCAGGTAATTTAACAGTTTTTCTCCGTCAATATATCTTTTTCCGGATCATCCTAAGCTTGTCACTCTCGTCAAAAGGCTATCTGAGTTTCTTTTGCCAATTTGGTATAATACTTCCTGTTCGTTTGGCTTCTTGAAACCCATATATATAATACCACTGAACAAGATCTAGTCACACTCCAACCTTTTTCCCCAAAAAAGAAAAGTAAGGAAAAAGATTAGAACTTGAACCTCAAGTTTTCGTCTAATTTATCATCTTCCTTTTTGAACACTTGCTGGGTAAGATTTCCTCCCTAGACCTTTCAAAAAAAATATAATAATAATAAAAAAGATTTCCTCTCTAGCTTTCACTCTCTTAAGAGTTTTGTGTAGATTTGAGCACTGTATAAAAATTTTGTTTTTTGTTTTTTTGTTTTTTTTTTTTTGGTTTCTCTGGGAAAGTGTAAGTAGGACAAGCGAAGAAAATGGTGAGAGGAAAGACTCAAATGAGGCGTATTGAGAATGCGACAAGTCGGCAAGTGACGTTCTCGAAGAGGCGAAATGGGCTGCTGAAGAAGGCATTTGAGCTTTCTGTCCTTTGCGATGCTGAGGTCGCTTTGATTATCTTTTCTCCAAGAGGCAAGCTCAATGAATTTGCAAGTTCCAGGTAAAACTTATTATTGTCTTTTTTTTTTTTAAAATTCAAAATTCTCTCTTCATGAGTATTGCAAATATTGGTATTCCTTAATTTGTTCTTTTTTGTCTGTTGTTTAAATATCATGCATAATTATTAATGACATGGCCCTTAATTTGCACCTTGTTTTCGTTTCTTCTTTTGTTCCTTTTGCATCTTATAATTAATTAGCTAGGGTTGTATGTTTGTATGCATATATGCTCCCCTTTTACAATTTTCTCTTTTGGGTTCTTTTTATTTTTTTTATTTTTTTTGTTTTCCGTACGTCTGTGGATACCAAATTCCGAAAGAAATCCTTCATTGAGGTCTATTTAATTAACCCTTTTATTCGTGGGCTGTTGTCTTTTGATTAGATTTTAAATTTGATCACTTTTCATGAATAAAACTCATCTTCGGAAACAGCACATATAGTGAAAAATATAAGTGCAAATCTGAAGTCTTATTGACCGTACTTTGCATTTTCTAATTAATCTATTTATCTTTTGATTTCCTTTCCAATTGGCGGGGTACTTCCCAGTAAAACTAATCTGTGATAACATCAAATTCTACAGCTGAAGCCAAATTATATGTGTATATATTATTTTCTACTCGTACGGTTGTTAATTCTATGACCATTGAAAATACTTGCACTAGTTTTTCTAGGAAAGCGCAGCGTATATATCGAGTACTAGGACACTTGAACAGTGTGAGAGATTCTCGCAAGTAAATACAAAAAATTTTAGGATTTTAACTATATATATATATATATATTAAGCTTTATCGCTATAACTACCTTTTGAAACATTGATCGAGTAATGTAATTAATAATATATTTGTGAAATGATGGAAATGAAACTATTAAAGAATATCAAGGGTGGTCATATATTTACCTTCCAGTGAAAACCGATAAAGAGTGGATGATTGAACTATATCAGTGTGGAATCACTTATAGAATAAGTGTCAAATTCAAGTACGTCCTTATTTGGTCTAAAGCAGGTGAGTAGTTTAAAGGGTCAAATTTTCTTTTCCGTTCTTTATATGGTGGTTGATGATGTGTTTGTACTGGAGGAATTGTTGGAGAAAGTGATAATTAATAGTTCCATTTTTCTTTGTTTTAACGTACACAGGTTATATTTTGTTAAAAGTACTAAAGAGAACTCTGCGTGCGGTTGGTTTCTGGGAAATAGATTGTACCATGAGTTGATATTTTAACCATTAGATTAAATATATATTTGCATAATAGACATATATGGGATGTTTATTTCAAGGGTTCGTCAATGGTTCTGAATCATGGTTCTTGGTTATTTCAAGGGTTCGTCCATGGTTCTGAATCATGGTTCTTGGTTCTTTATAGTGTTTTTTTCTCACAAAAAATCAGAATTTTAAAAATCAGAATCATGAATCATGGTTCTGAATCTATAATCAAACGTCCCAATATTGTTCTATAATAGTGCTTAATTACCTTATAATAATCATTAACAACACACTTGATGCCTGGATAAACAAGTTTAATTGACAGCATGAATAAATATACACACACGTATTTAGCATTTGTGGATATATGTTTATGGTTTACAGAAACAATCTAAACCAACCTAATGTTTTCCTGCTAATTATCACAATCAAGTATCCAAGTATTTGCTACTTTATTCATTTGTGATTATTATTTCATGTGGTATATAATTTGTATGATGTGTCATGTAGAATTTAATTTTTCGTCCATGGAATTCAGCTTCATCTTTATATGTTCATTTATATCAAATGTGAAGCTTTGTATTGTTCTAATCTAGCACGCGTAATTCTTTCTACATTTCTTAACATCCATTGTTGTTTTTTATGTTCCTCTTTATCCCCCTTAAGTCCATTTTGACGAGTAATCATAACTCATAAATTTATTCTATCGACAAGGTTTTCATATATAAAATTTTTGTATCCACATAACGCTCTTCAATAATATCATCCTAAATCCTAATTTGTTTGTAGAACATAAATCTTTGATTAACAAGCACATAAAATGTACCAAATTAAGATGTACATGGGTTACGAATCTTCCACTTGTAAAATGTCGTTAGTCCTTAAAATGAATGATTGAATGGCTAACTAAGCATGCATACATATAGATTTACGCACGCATGTCATGCACACACACAGACGCGTATATATGTGTGCATTTACAGGCTTTTCTACTTGTGTATCCGTCTCGAGAGTACTGAAAACATCATTGAAGTTCGTTCTTTGGTACGCACGCATGTCATGCACACACATACACACAGACGCCAATATATGTGTGCATTTATAGGCCTTTCTACTTGTGTATCCTTCTCGAGATTATTGGAAACATCATTAAAGTCCGTCCTTCGGTTATTTTGTAACTTGCATAACTGATTCCTTTCTAAAAAGAAAATTTAGAGATTCATGAAAGTTATTTGGTCTTAAGATCTATAACACTTTCCTTTTCCTTACATCAACCCATACGTATGTATGTATGAGGAACGAGATGTTTTCTTTGCTCATTGCCGGTCCCTTTTGATTCTTCCCCCTTTCTTTTGCTCATCTTACCTTTTTTATTTTTTTGTATTTTGTTTTTATTTTCTGTTTTGAAATCTAGTAAGAGACTTATAAGTGTGACATTGATATTGTTTTTAGGATTAATTACATAAATCCCCCCTGAATTATAGCCCTTGTAACACTTTGCCCTCTAATCTTTAAAACATAACATATGTACCACCTGAGCAATGAAATGTTAACAAAAAAAACCCCTCCCTTTGGTTTTTTAACATAAATTGACATTTAATTTGTTATTTTAGGGTATTTTAGTAACTATATGGTTTAAAATTTAGTTTGAATTTTAAACTAATTTAAACTTAAACTTTTAATTATGATACATTCATTATTGATTGAATGTAAGTTAAAAATTTTCTGAATCTTTTTCAGTAGAATAAAAAAATTTATGAATTTTTCTTTTTTGAATATTTAAGTTCGTTTAAATACAAATTAAATTTTAAACCGTAGAATTTCTAAAATACTCCAAAAATAGCAAATTAAATGTCAATTTTCAGCTAAAAACCTAACAGAGGGGGCTTTTTATTAATATTTCATCGTTCAAGAGGAATGGATGTTACGTTTTAAAGATCAGGGACAAAGTGTTAATGGGTATAATTCAGGGGAAAATTTTGTAATTAATCCTTGTTTTTATGACAACGGGAGGGGGAGGGGGGAGCGGGGTAAGGGGAAGGTAGGGGGTATTAAAGTACGCACACTTAGAATTAGAATTATAGGGGAAAAAAAAAAGTCTAAAGTTAAGATAAAGGTTTCACATTAACCAATTACAGCAAAAAACACTGTTACTTCCAATCTCTCAAGGTAAAACATGCACAATCAAGAGAAGGCTATTCTTGTCATCTTTAGCTGATAAAAAAACTAAAGGGAAAACCCAACTTAATTGACGCTCTTACACGCTAATAAGAACTCTTTCTGAAAATCATATCTAGGAGAAATTCCCCTATTCCGTCATTATAGTGAGGGGAACTTACCATGATATAAAAAATATTGACCATCTGATACAGACTTTGTTGGAAACTCATATAAAGTGCTTTGACTAGCTAGATTTTGGTCTCAAGTAGTCTTAAAATCTTCTCAAGTCTCAAATCTAGATTAATAGTATAATTGTCTCCGGATTTACTATGTCATTCTACCTTTGTAGTGAGAGTTTATTTTGGTCCAGTGAAGTAGGATATAATTCTAGACGTGTAAATATGAAAAATGTAAAGTTAGTGGTTTGGACTCTATATGTAGTCATGAGTTAAAAAGTCGTATGTTTAGCTTAGTTTTTGTACAAAGTTTCATGCTATGACAGACTTACTCATTACTCATGCCTGCAAATAGGTAATACCACTCTTTTTGTTGTACTTTAGCCACAAAAAAGAAAAAATACTTCCAAACCTTTGACCGCAAACTTTACTCTATATAAACAATCATTTCTTTTGTTCATCATCACTTCAGCTTGCCCCATCAAACGAATGGCAATACCATTTTATGTCCTATTTGCCTACACATTTTACAGCACTTGACTACAACTTTCACCAAGGCATAATAAATTAGTATCATGGACTGAACATTATGGAAAGTGTGTCTAGTTGAATAAATAAATTGAGAAACTTTAAAGAGTCCTCAACTGGCCTTAAGAAAAATGTTTGTGTAGAAAATCATGAGGTCAAATAAACTAGACACTTTAAGTTTCCAATTCTCAAGCTTGAAATATGTCAGATGAATTTTCCAACAAACCTGTACTCGGATTGTTCCACTACATGAGTTGGTCATGTCGCAGTGCCCTTTTAAAGCTTTTTGGCAATATTAGTTGATGACTAACTAATATTTGTTTTTCTTTTATTTTTTTATTATTTTTACTATTAGTTTTTTGAGCTGGATCCCCTCAAGGTGCCTTTTGGTGATAACTAATTGACTAGTAATGTTTGGTAGGTCTTATGCTAACCTGTTTATTAATTACAAACAGATATATTACCTCAAACGCGATCTATATGTGCACCGTTTGTCTCAACTCTATTCTCAAGCCAAACTCATCCATTACAAGTGTATTTTGAGATCATGTTCTTGACCTTACACCTAACTCTTACATAGTGAAAATCGGATTACACGGATAAATGATCAATCCACAACTGATACTGCAAATTAGAAAAATCTCAATCCATTACCAATCGATTAGACCCCGAATCCAATCCAATCCAAACCAATTCAAAAAGAATGACTTCTGTGAATTCGTAGATTGGCCTACGTTTCGGACATTACTCTTGTAGTCCCTATCATTTTAATATTCTCATACAATTTATTACAAAATTAAAAACAAACATAACATAAAATTAAAATAGTTCCACAAAAATCTAATCATTACAATTGTAGACTAGCTTCTCTACAGTCAAATCAAAAGTTAATTAAAAACTTGTGACAAAACAATAATTGAGATTCGGCTTTGATCACCGTTCTAATCCATATTAGGCCATTTTAGAAAAGAATTAACCGTAAATATTAACAAGAATAAATTAGAAATAATCTCAAGAAAATAAAATGAACAATGCAACAAAATAAATGATGGAGATGAGAGATGTATACTGGTTCACTCTTAAAAACCTATTCAAAAGGTGAGAGTGAATTCACTATATAGGTTTATAAACACCTGGACCTTGTTATCTCTCCTCGTGGGTTGCATTGTGAGCCACCCCCTTTCCCTCTAAAGGAGATGGAGATTGTGGGACTCCTTAGGCGTTGCCATGTGTCTCGTCACGTTTAATGTTGGGGATATCCGAAGTCATGAGCGGTTATAAGCTTGATTTTTCAGGATGTTCCCAAGTTGTTTGGGGGATTTGACTTCCTCAGTCAATTCGGATGGCTTGACTGTCTTTGTGGTCTCCGACATAGTTCGAGGACGATTCGGGCAGAATCAATCAAACCAATTGGAAAGACCCTTCCAGATCGATCCATTGAGCTCACACTCCATTCTTTAGTCCTTGGAGGATAATATGTTTTATGGAACGTATAAAACCCAACAGTGGGTTTGGCCTCGACAAATCCATCCCCTACAACAATACTAAGGACCTGTTTTGACAGAGTTTTTACTTTTACTTTTAGCCAGTAGAAGAAGAGAAGTAAAAGCTGTGGCTTTTTAGTAAGTGTTTGAAACAAAGTGCTTCATGGGTTTAAATGATTTTTAAATTTTCTAATAAGTAATAAAAGTAATGAAATTAAGCTTATAATGCCGTAATTAAACTCTGGATTAAGTTTCAAAGTCTACGTGCTTTTTGTAGAAGTCATAATTTCTGACTTTGATTGGAAGCTCTTCTAAAAAGTCAAAGCATTTATGAAAGATAATCCTAACACTTCCAGAAGCAACTTTTAGATTTAACAAGTCAAAAGCAGCTTTTAAGAAGCTCTCCCATATAGGCTTTAAATTTGACATAAAATTCTAAGTCTTTGACGCAAAATCTATCAGCTATTTGACAATATAGTTCGGTTTACGGATTATGTGGATTGAAAAATGCTCAATCTGTTATTTAATTCATAATTTTGGATTGAAAAAATCTCATTCCGTTTTCAATCCACAATCTATAACTTTGAATTGAGAAAATCGCAATTTGTTATAATTCAAAATTCATATCAACCAAATGAAAAATTATTAAAAGAGGCAAATTTGACATTTCATGTCCTAAAAAACAACCTTAGGGTAGCAAAAATTGATTTCTTAAAACGTTGAGGTACCAATTTAAAATTATCAAAAATACGGAATACTAAAAGATAAATCTTATTATAATACATGGTACTAAATTGAAATTATTCGAAAAAGTATGCTCACCATCTATTGAAAAAGTATGCTCACCATCTATTGAAGATAATCGATTTCCTGAAAATATGCCATAAAATTTTTTTTAATGGCCTTCTCAACCACTATATTTTATAAATATTATTTTTCTAATTTGATCATCTTGCATTATTTTTCTCTAATGTGTCCCTGCTTAATTATTTTTTTTAGTCCTATGAAGTGTTATTATATCAATAGTGATTCTCGAAATACTTTTTTCTTGTTGCTCATTAAACTATTTTGTTTTTAAATCTATCTTATTGTTTATTGATGTTATCCTTGCCTAAATATTTTTTCATGTACTCTAAAATATTATTGCATCACAAGTGACCTTGTTAATATATGTTTTTCTAAACAATTTCTCCACTAAGCTATTTTGCCTTAAATACGTACCTAATCCAACATCTCTCTTGCATCCTTCTTAGTTAATTTTTCTCAAATGTGTCCCTATTTAAAGATCTCTTTTCTCTCATTTTAACAAATATTATTTTCTTCAATGTATTTTCTAAATATTTTATTATCTAGTTTTATCTTATTAATTTTTCTTTAAATGTACTATACTTAAATGTGTTATAGTTAGATTCAACGAATATAATTTACACATGATTTCTAACTAGTAATAAGTAAAAGAATTAAACATTTGCTCCTAATATTTCTAAATAACAAATGATTTGTCCTCATACTTTTTCCAAGAGAAAGTTAGGTTGATGACTAGTGTTAGCCATACTTTTTTAATAAATGACCAAACTTTTTTTAGGTAAATAGTCGATTTTTTTCCTTTTTTTTTTTTTAGGGAAATGACCACTTTTTATAGTGGTTAATCAGTGATGAACTATGGTTTATCATTGATTTATCTAAGGTTTTTACTGATAAAATGATAGATTATTGGTTGAAGTTTGTTAATAACTAATTGAGATTGTTTGGTTAGTGACAAAATGCTAAATTAATCAGTGATAAATTCCAGTTAATCGGTAATAAACACCAAGTTAATCGTTGATAAACCACAATACATCACTAACTAACCATTCAAAAGATTTTCATTTCCCATATTTTACAAAACATTTTCCAGTTAGTAATAAAATTTTCAAAAACCGTCACACTTTTGCATACATCCCTTTCTCCAATTGCTGTGCATGTGATTCCACATGGGACACAAAATCGAGCTTCTTTCAAACTCCCTCCGCCTTTAGTATAGGTTTTTATTGGTACGAAAATTATAAAATATTAATCTTCACCTGTCTAAAAATTTTCACATATTTGGCTTAGAAACTTTTGGTTTGGCCCAAAAACACACACAAATGAAAAAAAAAAAAAAAAAAAATACAGTGAGATTTAGAAGACAGATTCATCACCATTGTGAATCGAGACCTAATCTGAATTAGCTTGATGGATAGTAGTACAAGACTAGAGTTACAAAAGAATAAATTAAAGAGAAAAAAGTTAGGCCAGAGAGAGATTCTACTCTGGATCTCGCATATTTGGCAGGGAGGATACATACCAGGGTTTGAGATGAAGAGGAGAAGAGGTAAAGGGGGAGCTTTAAACTCTTTCAATTTCACAAATCAATGCAAGGATATAGTAACACCAATTCTTACTTGTTACAATGTCATCATAACTTGAACCACCTGTGTCTTAGAATTGTGTGCTAGCCTTCTTCAATATTAATTTCTGCTTTAAGACTGTATTTAGTTTGTACAGCTTCGATTTGAGGATACATATAGTGTTTTAACTCGACCTACACAAACTTCTTGGGATGCTGGCATCGTCAAATGCGTTTGATATTTCTTCATTATCCATGCTTAATAAACATGATTTTTTTTTTTTCCTGGGATAATAAGAAAAACCTTCTTAGTACTTTAAGAATGCTGCATTTCGCCATATGTACATATTTTCATGAACTCTGGCTGTAGATTTTTAATATGGGGGACATTTTTAGCACAATTTGTAAAATTTTTATTTGTAAAACCTAAAGGATTGGTGCATTAACATTCTTGAAAATATAATGGAACCTAGCATTTTGGACAAAGCACAGGAGAGATATTAGTTATTATCCCTTCTTCTCTTTCAAGTTGTGTCTAAATTTTCTATTTCATGATTGGTTCTTCTACAAAGTAGGACAAATTATTGCTCCATTGGTTTGGAGCTGCACATCCATAACCTTGTGTACATGATTTGCGATAGTTAGGGTTTCTGATACGGTTGGGATCAATATATATTTATACTGTCGCTTATCATATATGGAACCAGAAGTATTTAGGATTTCAAGATCTGCATTTCAACATTTCTTTTATGACCAATGACCATCCATCAACTTATGTTGTGTAACAATACCGCCAGTTTTTGTATGACTGATAAGGTTAGAATGTGATCATGGTTATTCTCGTTGTCTATCTGATGTTTTTCTTAATGCTTGGTACAACTGAGAAAATGCTTATGTTCATTAGTACTTGGAATAGGTAGGTCACACTCTTGTTTTTTTAGCTCCATGTAGCTCTATAAAAAGTTTCATATGCTATGATTTTGGAGCAGTTACATCAAATCACTGCTCAAATAATCCACACCACATTTGCCTTTGAGCAGTGAAATCTTTATCTTTAATTACTTCAGATTATTTGATGATATTATTTAAAACAAACTTCATCCGGTTTTCTAACATAATGTCAATTAGTTTAATGATTATTTAATGATATTTAAAACAAACCCATCCTCTATTTGGCTCCTAGGAGGTCCGTGCTTCTTTAATGGGACGTTTGTTTCAAATGTTCGTCATTGGTTCTGAATCATGGTTCTTGATTCTCTACAGTGTTTTTCTCACAAAAAAATTTGAATTTAAAAAATCAAAATTATGAATCATGGTTCTGAACCCATGAACTAAACACCCCATTAATGATTCTACCTGTCGCGCATGTTCTCTAATCCCCTTTCTCTAGTCGGGATTTGTGGAGATCAATGCCAATGTTTGGTTTCTCTCGTTTTGTTACTGTGGTGAGCGATTGATTTTGCATATCACTTTTTTTGGCTACTTTGTGTTGGATTTGTAATTACACTATTGTCTGAAATCTTCAGCATGCAGGCAACAATAGAACGTTATAGGAGGCATACAAAAGACACTCAAACCAACAACAAATCCGTTGAACAAAACATGCAGGTACATAATATTCATCAAAGTGTGAAAAAAAAGCCCCCTAATTTTGCGGCAAAATGAACATTGAGAAACTTATCTTCAAGCATAAATCATTAGAAATACCAGTCCCATCCCATTTGATTTTTTACTTTTCTTTTTTTTTTTGTTCTTTTAAAGGAGAATTTTTACTTTTCTTAATCACACACACATATATAGGGGTGTTTGCGGATTGAAGGCCAATCGGCAATCTGATCCAGAACTGCGGATTGGAAAAATCTCAATCTGTGTCCGATCCAAAACCTTTTGTTGGGTTGAAACTAACACAAGACTCATAAATCTGAATGAGAAAGAACACAATCAACACAACAGAGTTTTACCGAGGTTCGAACAAAAATTTGCCCTACGTCCCAGTTGAGCTCTCTCACAAGAAGCTCTTCCACTATTAGATCAAAGATTACACCCTCACAGCTCACAAACCCAGAGAGAATCTCAGTACACACGAAAACAACCCAAGAAAGAATTCTCCAGAACGTTTACAAGAGAAAAACCCCAAATCCTCTTTGTTTTCTCTCAACAACCAAACGCCCAAATTCTCTCTTTCTCTCACTACAAAGCTGTTTCGGACTTTCTCCCTCTATTACAAGTGAATTCATTCCACCGAAGAAGCCACAATAGACTATTGTACTTCTTGTGAGGTCATGGCTCTACTTACCCTCTTCACGTTTTGCCAACACTGAGCAAGTCTAAGCATTTTTGAAACTTGCTCAGTGGAACAACTTTAGTAGCCATATCTGTTGGGTTATCTTCAGTCCCTATCTTCTCCAGCTCAATTACTCCTTCTTCAACCTTGTCTCTGATGAAGTGATGTCTCACATCTATATATTTTGTTCTTTCATGATAAACTGGATTCCTGCACAAATGAATAGCATATTAACTATATGAATATATCACAGAAGAACCCTCCATCACTTTGAGTTCTTTCAGTAATCCTTGTAGCCAAATAATCTCTTCGAATCCTTCAACTCCAGCAATGTATTTTGCTTCAGTACTTGAAATAGCTACCATTGGTTGTAGTTGTGCCTTCCAACTGATGTAACTTCCTCCAAGTGTCATGACGTATGCTGAAGTTGATCTTCTCTTATCTCCGTCACCTGCAAAATCAGAATCAACAAAACCTTCCAAGACCAAGTGATTAGAGTTACATTTGTAAATTAAACAATATTGCAATGTATTGTTCACATATTTAAGTAACCACTTCATTGCCTCCAATGCTCATGTCCAGGATTGGACATATATTGACTTAATACACTCACTGCATAAGCCAAATATGGTCTTGTGCAAATCATTGCGTACATCAATGATCTAAGTGCACTTGAATATGGAATATTGGACATCTCTTGCTTTTCTTCTTCAGTTTCGGTGACTGATCTGTAGAAAGTTTAAAATGGCCAGCTAATGGGATCTGAACTGCCTTTGCCTGATTCATAGAAATTTAAGTACTACCTTCCTCAAATATTCTTCTTGAGATAGACACAACACCTTTTGCTGCCTATTCCTCTTGATATTAATTCCCAATATCCACTTAGCCCTTTCTAAATCTTTCATATCAAACTCTGAACTTAGCATTTCACCTGATTAATTACACTAGACTCCTTGCTTATGATCAGTATATCATCTACATAGAGTAGAAGATATACTGCTCTTTCTGTTCCAGCATCCTTGTAATACAAAGATGAGTCATAATCACTCTTCTTGAACCCCTCCATAAAGGGACTTCTTTAACAGACATACCTTTTCTTCCAAACTGCTTTCTTCAAAACCAGGGGACTGTTTTATGTAGATTGTCTCATTCAAATCTCCATGTAAGAAAGCAGTTTTTACATCCATTTGTTCTAGCTCCCAATCACTTTGAGCAACTATTGCTAAAACAGTTCTTATTGTTTTATATTTGACTATTGGATAAAAGACCTCCACGTAGTCTATTCCTTCAACTTGAGTAAACCCCTTGGCCACAAATCTTGCATTGAATCTCTTGGAGTCACTTGCTGTAATTCCATCTTTGATTTTATAAATCCATTTGCAGTCAACTAGCTTTTTGTTCTTTGGTTTATCTACCAAGGTCCAAGTCTTATTCTTCATTAGAGATGCCATTTCTTCGTTCATAGCTTGTTCCCACTTGTTGGATTGAGGACTTGACATTGCTTCATGATAACTGTTTGGTTCAAGTCTGACTACATCCTATGCGGTGTTGAGGGCATAAGCAATTAAATTTCCACCTGAATATCTTTCAGGGGGTTTAATATGTCTTCTCTGACTGTCCCTTGTCAGCATGTAGTCATTTAGTCCCTGACGAGTGGGGGATGGTTGTCTGGAGGCAGTCTCGGGTTGAGCTACTTCTTGACCCATTTGATGATCAGTTTGAGCCTCACTAGTTTGTTGCTCTAAGCCTGCTGTAGGCTGATTTGTTTCCACATCGGTTTGCTCAAAATGGCCATTATCGTCCACCTCAAATTGAAGCTCCTGTGTTGGGGTAGGCTTGTCCCTACATCATTGGAAGAGATAGCAGTATCTTGTCTTTCTTTTAAATAGGGCATGTCATTTTCATTGAAAAGCACATCTCTACTAATGACTATTTTGAAACTAGGGCCATTCCTAACACATAGTCTATGTCCTTTGACACCCTCGAGATAGCCTAGAAAAATACATTTAATCAACCTAGGGTCTAATTTTCCCTCTCTTTGGTGGGCATATGCAGCACAACCAAAGACCCGGGGGTGGCTTAAGTTTGGAGGTTTGCCAGTCCAACATTCCTCTGGTGTCTTTAGGCCAATGGGCTTACATGGACACCTATTTATGAGGTAACATGTTGTACTGATGCCTCACCCCAGAATTTTTTGCTTAGGCCAGCTCCAAACAACATCCACCTTACCCTTTCCATTATAGTCCTATTCATCTTCTCCACTATCCCGTTTTGTTGGGATGTCTTTTTCACTGTTCTATGCCTTAAAATACCTCTTTCAGCACAAAATTTAGAGAACAGATTATGACAAAATTCCATACCATTGTCAGTTCTAAGGGTCTTTAATCTCCTATTAGTTTGATTTTCAACTAATGCCTTCCATAGTTTAAATTTCTCAAAACATTCATCTTTGGATTTTAATACATAAATCCGTACTTTTCTAGAGAAATGTCTACTATGGAAAGAATGTACCTGTGGCCTCCATGAGTTGAAACACTTTCTGGCCCCCATAAATCAGCATGTACGTAGTCCAATGGTCCTTTAGCTCAGTAGGCAGAAAGTGAGAAGCTAAGTCTGTGTTGCTTCCCCAAAATGCACTGCTCGCAGAAATTGAGTTGGCTGATTTTGTTCTTTCCTAGGAGGCCTTGTTTGCCCAGTTCTTGTAGCCCATTCTCGCTAACATGAGCTAGTCTTCTATGCCAAATTTCTGCTTGATGACCATCTTTAGTTACTGTTGCAGCAACTCCATCAGCAGTGTTTCCAAGCAACACATAAAGGCCATGTAGTTTTTGACCTTTCATTACTGTCAGAGAGCCCTTTAGCACCCAGAGGACTCCACCTTCAGCCTTGTGAAAAACCCGCATCATCTAAAGCGCCAAGGGAGATTAGATTTCTTCTGAGGTCTGGAACATGTCTCACGTTTCTGAGTAGTTGAGAGGTTCCATCATGCATCTTTATGGGGATAGTACAAATCCCAATGACTGAGCATGACTGATTATTTCCCATGAGAATATTTCCTGTCTTTAGTGTGAGATATTCAGAGAACCATTCTTTCTTGGGGCACATGTGGTAAGTACACCCTAATCGAGTATCCACTCAATTTTTGGCTTAGTTTCTCCCATTACCAATATCTCAAAAAAGTCATATCCCTCAGCCTGATTTGCAGATGAAAAAGTTCTCAATTCGCAATCCAATTGAAAACCTTCGGATTGGAAAAATCTCAATCCGTATCCGATCTAAAACTATTTTCAATCTGATCTAAAACTTTGGATTAGATTAATTTTCGCGGATCAATTGGATACGTGAATTTCGCGTAGTGTTCAATATGTCTCCATAGTAAAAGAGTGCTCTTAAATCCTAAAAGTGAAAAGTACCTTGGAGGACAAGGTCTATCAGTGAGAAATTTTAAGCTAGTGGCCGAAAGATAATTATAGTTTCTTTTTGTTCAGTTCTGAATGCCTTTACTTTAGTTTGTTTTGGTTTGAATATTGGAACATCACGATACCAGCTCATAACAAATTAACAACCAATGGTGCAGCTGTTAATAATAATTGATCGCTCACAACAACCAATGAAAAGTGAAAACATCGCGCCTAGTCAATTAAAACATTGCTGCATGCGAGGTTCCCCCCCTCTCTTTTCAATTAAAACAAGTCACCGACTTGTAATCTCTTATCTTATCAAAAGAAAAGGAAAAATAGTGAAATTACATAAAATAAAAAAAAGAGAAAAACAACAAAATCAAGTCCTGAATCTATATATTGTGTATCCAGAAATATCTAACCCAAACTCTTTAAGAACAAACCTTGAAGCATTATGCCACTAAGTATAACACCTAGAAACTATACCGAAATTAGCCAAATAATCAGCAATTGTATTCACCTAAGCATTTTGAAGAGATCATGGAACTTTAGAACAACCACACCAAAAAAGATGAACTGCACAAGGAGAATCACTTTCTAACCAAAGGTGACTCCACCACTTACTCCAATCTAATCTAATGGCCATAATAATAGTCCACATCTCAGCTTCAATAGTTAAACACTCACCATAGAAGATGTTGAAAGCTTCTAAGAAAAACCTCTACAATTGAGAAAAACTGCACCTTCCCCAGCTAGACCATTCCTATAGGAGTCCTACAAACAACATAAAAGATCTTTGGAGCCTTTCTAGGCACAATTTCAAGACCAAAAGCTTTGAAGCAAGTAACTCTTGTTGAGAATTTCTCATAACACCAGGGACAAAGCTAGGCATGGAAATGAGTGGGGGCACAAATGAAGGCGATATTTACAAGCTACAAAACAATAATATAAATATCAAGTAAAACTGAATATATTTTAGTAATAAATTTTATTGAGATCATAAGAAGAAATTACAGTAGAAAAAAAATAGGAGATGAGGTTACCAAACACTCACCAGAAAATACAAAGTTCAAAGATTGAAGGCCCTAATAAATTATAACTCAGTGGGGGCACATCTAATGTACATATCTCCAAAATAATTATAAGATATATATATATATATATATATATTGACTTCCTCTACGTGCCCCCACTAGTCTCCATCTGCGTCCGTGCCAGCATAACACCAATCTTTGTTGAGCTTACCAACCTCAACAACAGCCTGCTTCACCGCTAGCCGAAGGAAACGAAAACTAGGGACTGCATTATCAAACCACCCTATTTCTCATAGACCAAATAGCCCGGAGCAAGTAATAACTGTAGAAACCCAAAAACAGAAAACTTGAGAACGTTCTAAACCGCTTATTATGCTGAAGTAAATGACTCAAACTCATATTTGTATGATTCTTGCTCGCTCCATGCGCACGTGGAGATGTCACAAAATTACTTATTCTATCAAAGTTGTTGAACCAAATGACTTAGTAAATAGTTAAGTTGTTAATTTTCAATTAAAACAATACGTGTTTCCATAAATTGATTAGTTAACTAAAAAATGTCACTTTACCTACATAATTTGATTAAGAAAACGGTAAATGACTTGAGATCTTTGTCATTACTCTTGTAGAAAACAGTCTTATATACGAATAGGAACACAGAACCACAAAAAGGTCACGTACCAACCATTTCAATAAACATTTTCAACCATACAAGCAAACGTGTATACACACACACATATATATATACAAATTAAACAATATATATATACACACACACACACACACTCAAACCAAATGGAGTGCTTTTATTTATAGAAAAATTTGTCTATTACTCGAAAATCATGTTCTCCTTGTTGTTCACTAATCAAAGTTTGGCACGTTATTTAAACTTTTAAGTTGAAAAGCCATTTATGTTATTCCATCTCCAATATAAACATTAATGTCAATGGCATATTTTGTATCAAAAAGTGTGAAAATGATACATATGATATCTTATTTTCATTTAAGCAGTTGTAATGCGCAATGCTATTTTAAATACTCAATCTAATTTTTGTTACAATTATTAAGCTTTGCAAGTTGTAAAAGTAAACTTCTAATTTTAAAATAATTTGAAAATGCTAATATTGTAATGTTTAAATGCAAAAATAAACATATCATCAACCAATAGCAATCCCATACTAAAATTTGACATATGGTATATTTGGTGGTAAATTTGCCATTAAGGCATATGCCAAACTTAGCACCAAGAATAACATTGCATTGAAAAGTAACTTCCTTACTCAAATGTTAAAATTTGGTGCAGCACACCAATATATAAGTATTGTCTCGGAGATGCTCATAGTTCCATGTTTTTAAGATAATGTGATAAATCTTAATTAGTGGGACAACAAAGTAAACAAGTTCTTGGACAGCAGATTTGAACTCCTACATAGGGACTTCTAATATCCTACTCTAGACTCTATAGAAAGATGTGCGGCCAGACAAAATCCTAGAAACTTGATGTTTCTATCATCGACACTTTAGCCAGTATATCCTTCTATCTTAATCAACACATTATGCCAATATTTTTCTTTCTAGATAATCAATAAGGGGTCTCTTTTTTGTAGAGTTTCTTATGAATTCTAATCTAAATTTTGCAGCACTTGAAGCAAGAAGCAGCTGCCATGATGAAGAAGATAGAGCTTCTTGAGATTTCAAAGCGGTTCTTTGCCTTGCCTTTCCTACCCTAATTTTCATTTCTTCTTTTGAACTTGTACACCCAGGAATCAGTTAAGCCTTTGAAGTTCTTCAGCTTTCTCATTTAAAGCATTTATTGATGTTTGATGAATTGGGAATGACACAACAGGAAACTCTTGGGAGAGGGTCTGGGAACAAGCTCCATTGAAGAAATACAACAAGTCGAACAACAGCTGGAGAGAAGTGTCACTAAAATCCGAGCAAGAAAGGTTTATCATTTAGCCACTTGTTTTAGAACTTATTAAGTCCTTTGGTTTCCTTGTAATTTCCCTTTCTATTGTTAGGGTACTTCATTTTTATTTTTAATAAAATTTGAGTAAGGAGCTTGGTGCGGGAGGGGGGGAGGATCTAGGGCGTACCAACTCGGGATGTCCTAGTTCCTTCTGATGCGAGTTGCTCCTCATCATTTATCAAAAATTAGAAAGATAATAAAAATTAGCAAACTGTTATAGCCCTAGTTGTGCTTGTGTTTCTAGAGCAATGGCCCTAAGCTTCCAAGTCTCTACGCACTATATTACAAGTGATTCTAGTAGAAATCTTTGAAAGCAAACAAGGCCTTGTTTGGTAACATGACTTCGTTGTTTGTTATGCACTGTGAAAAGTGAAATGAATGATCTTCTCAATATGCTGCTTCTTGCTTGAGATACGCTTTTGCCATTCTTTCACTTTTGAACGAAAAAAACAAAAAAGGGATAGTAGGTCAAATCTTTGGCAGTAACTAGGTCTGCATGCAGTTCATTTTTGGCGGAAACTAATGCATGCTTAATCATTTTCTCTATGTTTCAGAATCAGGTTTTCAAAGAACAGATTGAGCAGCTTAAAGAAAAGGTAAACTGCCACCATAAACGGTTTCTTGGGAACAGTGTATGATCAGTCTATGCAGAGATCTTGTGCAGAAAAGTGACTGATAACCATATCCTATAAATAATAAGATTGGAGTTGAAATACGTCTACTTTTTCATTTAGGTTTTTTGAGCAACAAAAGATGCTTGCTAAGTTTCTTTTGCTTCACTGTTGCATTGTTGTCTTTCAAAGAAAGCATTAGGAGGTAAACATTAGTAGCTGACTAATGTTTCGTGGTGGCCTTGTTTTCTAATGACAATCCAGGAAAAGGTCCTAGAAGCTGAAAATGCAAGGCTCTATGAGAAGGTAGGCTTTTACTATTATTTTCTTACTTGCTCGTCTTTATTTGTAGTTGCATATTGTCAGTTTTTTTAGTAGCTATATTATTACTTTAATTTTTTTTTTTTTTGGTCTTTAATAACGATTTTAAACTTTGTATTCTTTAATTATGTTTTTTAATAGCTATTTTTGATTTGATCAGTTTCCTGCACTAATTATTTACACAGAATTCTCTTAATAATTAAGAAAGTCACAAAATTTCCAACACTCCGCTTCAAGCCGGTGATTAGATAATATCCATTTCCAGCTTATTTGTAGTCTCTTGAAAAAAAGTTTTGACCAACCCCTTGGTTAAGATATCCGCCAATTGTCTCTGTGTTCGAATCTGGGGTGTGCATATTAGACTGCTATCTCCTCTTCGATGAAGTGTTTGTCCATCTCAACATGTTTGGCTTGATGATGTTAAACTGGATTATAAGCAATATTGACGGCCTATTTGTTGTCACATTCAATCTTAAGATCATCAAGAACGAATTTTCTCCACAGATGCTCACATATTTTGTGAGCTATTGCTCTGAATTCTGTCTCAGTGTTTGACTTTGCCACCAATATGCTTTTTACTCCAGGTTTTTAGATTACCCCAATGAGAAAGTAAAATACCCAATAGTTGATCTTCTGACCTTTGTTGATCCAGCCTTGTCAGCATCGTATGCTTGAGACTTCGCCCCTGATAGCATATAGAAAAAGTTTGATATTCTTAATATTTGAAAAGAATCGATAGAAGTACAATGTATACTAAAAATGCAAAGCTATCCAGGAAAAGTTGGTCTATTCTATAAATTCCCCACAAATAAAGGATTGATAAAACATGAAATCAGGAAACTGCGCTACATATTTACAGTGTACACATAATCATGTAGGATTAGAATATCACACATATTCTGTAAATGATTCAGAGAATTACATAGATGTCTAACACCAAGCATTGTGTTGCATTGGAGAGTAATTTTCTTAACCAACGACCAAATTGTAGCATTAACATAGAAATTTGAAGATGTTACACAGTGACTCATAACGAGTAAAGAATAAATCACGCTCTAAAATGAAGGGATATTAAATTTTCTTAAGTTTCTAGATCTAAAATCTTTGCAAGGTCAAAAATCCTTAAGAGTTCAGTAGGATATTCGAGTCATTCTGCTTATGAAACTTTTTTACCGGACAAAAGCGAAAAGGTCTGTCACTATCGTGACAATAAATAGCACCTGAGAAAATATCCAAGGCAATTTCTTTATAAAGTTGCTATTTCACTTGGTCATTTTTTCCATTCTTTTCTTGGATGCAGTATGCTGGTAAACCATTGCAAGTATTGAATAAGCAGAGAGAAATCTTACCAAACACAGAAAGTGATCCCAGTTCAGAAGTGGAGACTGAACTGTTCATTGGACTACCAGAAACAAGACTAAAAGCTCCTTCCTTCAAATAAGTGATGGATTTAGGAGAAAGGTAAAAAACATGCCTAAGAAGGATTAGATAAGCTGAGGCAATTGTAAGACATTTCCGTAGCCTCTATTAGAATATTCCACTACTTTAATCTTGCTTTATAAGGCAAGAAAATAATGCTAGCAATAGTAACTTGAGAGTAGCCCTATTGGTACTTTGTTGTAATTTATGATTCATGATTGTAATCAGAAACTGTAACTGAATATTGCTAGTTGGTGCAGTGTATGTATTGTGTAGAAACTCCAATGTTTTTCTCTTATGGCCCTTTTGATCTCGTTTTGTTCCATCAATAGAAAATTCTTGTTTCGAGTCTCAGAAACAAAATGTGATGAATACAAGTATAGTTTCGAACAAGGGATTTATAAAAGAATCAATGAAACCTCTCGTTCTGGAGTCTAGACCCTCAAAAATGTTAATTTTTACTTTGTGAGGAGTTAGAAGAGAAGCCAATATAAGGTTTCTAGCACTTTTGTTCCTAAATATTTTCAGTTTTGATAACTTGTCCCTTAAAACTTTTAACATTTTATTAATGACAGTCAAGCTGACGAATAGAAAAGTTAACGTCAGCCTCACCTTCGATCAAAAATCACCACATCTGTCAATTTAAGCCCTAACACAATTTGCTCAAATCATTTAACCCCAAATCGACCAAGAAATTAAAAATGAGGTACATTACAATAATTTAGCAAATTAAAGGGGGTAAAGTGTCTCAAGTTACTAAAAGTCAAAAAGTTTGGGAGCAAAACTGCTAAAAACTCTAGGGAAATAGTAGAAAATAGACCAATATGAAAAGCTTAAGAAAGTATATAGGTCAATTTTTAGTTATAGAAATTAATAGGTCATAACTTGTCAAGTTATGGTTCATAACCAGATAAGTTATGGACAAACGTGTCAAGTTATGGTTCATAACTAGACAAGTTATGGACAATTATGAACAATAACTTGTCGAGTTATGGTTTATAACCAGACAAGTTATGGACGAAAACAATAATTTGGCCTATTTATTAACTTATATAAACTATTGACCTATTAATTTTAATTCATCTCAAATTTTAACCTATTTCCCTCTTTCTCCCAAAACTCTACTAATATATGGACAGGTCAATAAACTTGTTTTGTATGTAACGGAGCCTACGCAGGCCGTGGGGGCTTAGGCCCCTATTCATTTTTTAAAAAAAATCTTATATATATACAATTGGTAGTTTGTTATATAGTAATTATATTTGCACCCACTAAATTTATTAATATCTCACTAAATCATATTTATTTTTATTCAAATTTATCTGCATTAAAATCCACTAATATACCTCCCACATTAACTATAAAGATAGATAATATTCTTTCAAAAAATAAAAATAAAAAATAAAAAAGTATGCACCGACATTAGAAAATATTTTTCAAAGTAATTAATTGTCTAAAGTATTTGTCAACAAATATTCATTTCTATTTAAAGTGTCATCAATCATGATGTTTCCGTAAACCTACCTATAGTGCTTCCAACAAAATATTTAGAACTCGAAGCAGTTCTTTTCTTTCTTCCTTTTAGTCCGACTCTGAAATAAATAAATAAATGCAAGGACTGAAATGCAACTTGTTACAGCTTATGAAGAGTGCACCCTCAGAGAGCAACAGACAAATTGGTGTGATTCAGAAGCGTTTTTAAGTGTTTGGTCATCCATCTTATTATTAGGAAGGATTTTTGGATCAACACAAATTCACCAATTAAGGGGGGAAAAAAAACAAAAATCATTGAAGAATTACAATAATTTTTTAAAAAATATAAAATTAATAGATGAAAGAAATTATATTATCTTATAAAGGAAATCAAAATTAAAATTGCATGAGAGGGTTCAATTAGGTATGATGAAAATAATATCTATAAAAGTATAGATTTTTCAAATCTTCATTAGATGAGTATTAATTATTGTGGATATTTATAAATTATATGAGTGTAAATATAACCACTCTATATTATATTGTTATGAGAAATCTTGACAAATACCCTTTAAAAGTGCATGATTTTTTTAATTTTTACCCCCTACTCTTGACTAATACCCGTTTTAGTCAAATAATTATTTTAACAAAGGGTATTAATTATGAGTAAGTGGCAAAAATTCATATCCATGCATTTTAAGGGTAAGTTCAGTAATTTTATCTATTAATGTTAATTAGCAAGGAAAATGAGACAAACACCCCTTAGAGTGCATGAGTCTGAATTTTTATCCATTACTCTTAATTAATATCATTTTTAGTCAAATAACTATTTTATTCAAAATGTATTAATCAAGAGTTCGGGATAAAAATTCAAACTCATGCACTTTAAGGGTAAGTTCAACAATTTTCTCTTATTAACTCTTAGTAATAGCCCTGATTTCAACAAGCCCAATATACACCTAATCTTTCGGATAATCTTGACAAATATCCCTTAAAATGGTACCATTAAGGATTTTTAAGTCTCAACATTGGCCTATTAAAATTTTCTCATTTGGAGTAAGTAATTTGATAGATTATTATCGATAATTTGACAGAGTCGTTAGCGGCGGGTCGCCGGTCTCCGGTGACGGGCGTAATTTAACAAATTATTGTCTAAAATTTGATAAATGTTTATCTATAATTTGATAAATTATTATAAAAAAAGATAGCATATCACAACAAAAAAAAAGTAGAACTCTAAAAGGATGTGTTTAAGGGTCAATTTTTGTAATTTTCTCTAATCTTTTCTAATAGCCCCATAATTTTAAAAGCGCCCACTACATTTCAAAGGTCTTTTATCACTTAAAAAGAAAAAAAGAAAATAGAAAAATACTTCCTTTCCCTAATTCATATCATTTTTGTGTGGAGTTATTTTATACTGTTTTGATATGCAACTTTAAGGGTTGAATGGTTTTTTTTTTTTTTGAGGTAAATACCAACTTTCTCCTTTATCTAGCATTCTTAAATCTAGAAGATTCATTCTCAGCTTATGACAAGAAAAGGTTAATCAAAGTTGCTAAGTATTCTCCATAAGATTTTTCTGCCATAGATTACGTCATTGGTATGAGTTCTAATGAGCAATTCTTGGGATAAAACATATTGGTGATTTTTTCAAAAATGGCTTTGACAAGAAAAAACGTGTATCAATTAGTTTCTTGGACATTAGCATTAATAGTTCTTACGGTTTCTACTGCTATAATAGATATGATATTTTCTGCTATGTATCTTGCGAAGAATCGACTGTGCAATATTTTCTGCCATGTGGAACAACGTACATCTTTGCTAGAAAATAAAATTAATCAAGATATTCCAAGTTGCAATTTCTGTGCTGTACAAAATAGGACCATAATAAAATGTGGTTGTTTATTGCATACCAGCAACATTTATTCTCTGAAAAGAATGCATTAGCTCTCTCCCTATTCTAGTTTTGTTCCAAAATTAAAACAAAAACAACAAACAAATGCTCAAGATCTTTTGCCAATCACATATTTTCGCATGTGGTGACTTTCTTCACAATTTCGAGGACAGCCTCTCTTGTGGGCATTGCCGGAATGGCTCCTCTCTCTGTCACGGTGAGAGCACCGCAGGCATTTGCAAAGAGGAGAGCATCCTGCAACCGCTTTTCGTCCTGTACAGGAAATAAATTCAACTACATTGTTTAGTATGAACTTGGTTGGCATGTCCTTTATTTTATTTTCTTTGTCCAAGTTAAGGTGAATCATTCAACTCAAACTACTACTATAACGCCAATTTGTTTTTTTTCTAGTACAGAAGTTATTTGGATCGACCCATTCGGTGTCAGTTTAAAATTAACGTTTCTTTTTTTTTTTTTTTTTTATAATTCAAGATGATCATTTCAATGCACAAAATTTTACAAAAGCTTTAGAATAATAAAATATTCATGCATCAGGACAATATTCCTGATGTTACACATGTATATGCACGTACATTCGTACATATATCACAGGTAGTCGTTGAATTTAACTACTGCTTTTGCAGTTACTAACGATGAAAATGTTTATGAACTTAAAGTGTCTAGAAAAAACGATATCTAAACACAAAACTGTGGGAAGACTATTTAAGCAATTTTATCTTCATATATCAGATGATAATAACCAAAAAAGAAAAAAAAAATCTCCATTCTTTTTCTAACACAACAACGAGAGAGAAATGTGGGAGGAAAAACTAGAAAACATAATCATTGGAAAGACATTATACCTTGTATAGATCCAAGTCCGAAGCAAAAATATTCAGTATCCCAGCAACAAAACCATCACCAGCACCAGTTGTGTCGACGGCATTGACTTTAACACCAAAAACTTGGCCGTTAAAATCCTGTAAAAAAGTCATGGAGAAATTAATTAGCAAGTTGATTGATCATAGAATTAGGGGGAAAAAAACGGAAGCAAACAAATCAACTATATATCAAGTATCAAGAAGACAATAGCATGAATTCGAAAACAAAACTTATGTTTCATAATGTTGGAACATGTAAATACCATTCCTTATGATGGAGTTGGATGCAAGAATTAAGAATACTGACCTTTGTGTAATATCTGCACCCGTTTGTCCCTTCCGATACCAGCAAAAGCTTGAGATTGGAGTGAAAAAGTTTCTCCCTCACCACGTTATTGTCATAAGGATCTTCGCCTTCGGTCAAGAATGTAATTTCTTCTGTACTAATCTGCAAAATTTGCCACATATTTTAATGTAAAACACTTGGAGATAGTTCATACCACAGCTCTTAAACCGTTGATCGAAGCATGTACCTTAATGATGTCAGCTTGTGCCCATATGCTCATAATGCCATCCCTGGCAGACTTTTCGGATGGCCAAAGTGGTAATCTCAAATTTGGGTCATAAGAGAGGAGACAACCCGAGTTCTTAGCAATTTTCATGGCAGCAAGGTGAGCTGATCTGCAGGGTTCCTCAATCAAGCTGATTGATCCATAGTGAAAAATACCGGCCTGCAGGATTTAGTAACACAAAAAATAAGAAGGATATTAGCTATTGCTTCTATCTATTGCTATTGATAAGTGCGTAATTGGGTATGGTTTTCCGATCAATTTTCCTGTGATTTCTTGCTTAATTCTTGAGTATTTTGTGTTTATTTGTGTTCTTATATTTTATAGGAAACTCAAAAGGATCAATTTGGAGAAGTTTCGGGCGCCTACGCCTTGAAAACGGGCGCCACGGCACTTAAAACTCCAAAATCAAGCCAAAAACCCGAGGCAACAGAGCCTAAGCGCTACAAAACAGAGCCATGGCACGCAGAGCCTAGGCACTACAAAACGAAACCATGGTGCCCAAGGCCGCGGCACTACTTCGCGATACCTTCTGAATTTTTGGATTTTTGGACTCCGAATTTTACCCTAATTGACCCAAACATAGAAATCTATAAATAGGGGACTTTGGGGCTTGAGAGGGATCTTTTTGGCAGAAATTCCAGCCACCTTTTGGAGAGAAAAAGTGAGAGGAGAAGGAGGAATTCATGAGAAATTCAAGGAGGATTCATTTGCATGAAGATTTCTTCTAAGATTCTCAGATTTTTTATTCTCTTCTTCTTTCCTCTAAACTCTATATGTTTTTCATTTAATTTTCTTCGTATTATTTTATCATTATGTTAGGTTAATTTTCTTTTTGGTTAAGGGTAATGTCGAAACTCTAAACATGGAATTTATGTTTGAATGATTTGATATTGTTTCCAATCTCTCAATAGAAATCGTTTATGTTCTTTCAAGTTAATTGTTCATGCTTATTTTCTTTTTTTTTTTTGGTGCGCAACCAATTAGGATTTGAAAATTATCTATTGCTAGATTAGGAATTCTTGATCCGTAATTGTCTTCAGTTTCTAATTATCGGTAGCGAATTGTAGTCAATAATTGCACGAGGCTTTTGTGTGATTGCATGTGGAACATAACCTAGGTTAAATATTCCGAGCTTGTGTATTTATTACCGAGATTAAACTATCTTTCTCAACTTAATGCTTCCATTGAATTGAATCTAGAGAGCTTCTTCTAGGTTATTTGAGGGAAATGGATTAAATAAAGAGCTTATTTTATTTAACGATAAATTAAGGAAAGATTGAGATAGCAGAGATTATTATTATTTACGGTTTGTGGTTTCTATAGGAAATTGGAGATTTTATCATTCATTCATCATAATTCAATTGTCGAAAAGTGGAGATTAATCCTTTAACCGTCTTTTTATTATTGATTGTTTTTTTATATATTTTCAAGCAATGTTTTATTTGATTTCTTGTTTAATTTTAGTTTCTTTAGTTTAGAATCCAAAACCTCCTTTTGCAAGATTTATAACTTATTAATTAAGATCAATCTTCTGGGGAACGATCCTTACTCATTACTATATCCAATAACGACAAACTAAAATAAGATTAAATTTGAGGTCCTACCAAATTGCCATAAGCTATTTTCATAGTTAATTGTAAATGAGTTCAGTAATAGCTAAATACTTTATTTAAGGTTTAAACCAATTGGTGCCTAAGTGAAATTCAGTAATGAACCCTGGATACAAGGATTTTTAGACCAAAGTATTGTCAGAATGCAAAAGAAAGCCACGCAAATAGTTTATAAGACTAATCATTACTGCATTGAAGAGAAATGGCAAAGAAAGCCACCTTGGTTTGGAAGAAATAAGTAGAGAAGAGGACAAAGAATTAACAGCTAAACTGAGCAACCAAAGAGAAATTGTTTGTCCTTGATACATTGAAACGGAACAGTACTAGATACCTTTTTTATTAGATCTACATCAAGGTCTGCCTCACGGAGAAGCATATCGGCACTTGGATTCCTGAAGAAGAGAAATTCACGCTCCCCATTTTTTGTCAGCGTCACAAAGGCCAATGCAGTCCTAGCATCCGGGTCAAACCGCATTCCTGAATTGTCAACTTTGTTTTCTTTCAAAATGTTAGCCAGCGCGTGTCCAAATTCATCATCACCAACCTAAAATCCAAAAAAAAAAAAAAAAAAAAAAAAAAATGCTCATCAAAACAAGTAATTCCATTCACTCGGCTAACGTGCATTTTCAACAAGTCAATATCTAATGTTCTCGTTTAGTTCGCTGATTCGAATTTTTAATTCAAGTTGAGATGTGACTTTATGTGAGACATTTTTACTGTAGCAAAAAAGTTAGATGTGATTGTTTCTGAGAGCTTTTTACTGTTACAAAACTCGAATTCTAAACTTAAATCGGTGAAATGAACGTGACTTAAATGATTTCACATAAATTGAGCCTAAAAACATGCTGATACTAGCAATAAGACAAAGGATCAGGAAAAGATAGAGGAGACCTTGCCAATGAAAGCTGATGAGCCTCCCAATCTTGCTATCCCAACAGCAACATTAGCAGGAGCTCCACCAGCGGCTTTCTTGAAAGCCTCTGCTTCTGAAAGAGAAACCCCGGAAGTCATCGGGACGAAATCGAACATCATCTCCCCCATACAAACAACAGTCACTCCTTTTTTCTCCTCCCATTTATCTGGATCACCTCGGAGCAAATTTCACTAGTCAATTATCATAAACATGTCCTGATAAATTAAAAAACAAGTGGCTTTCATAACTTAGAATCTGATCTGATAAACAATATCAAATGGGTAATTATCCATATGATAAAAAAAAAACAACACAAAGTGGAATAGAAACTTGTACATGAAGAAAGTGAAGTCTTAGACAACTTAAAAGTACTGCCTCTTGGGAAACAGCTACAATCAGACATGTTGAATTTGAACTTGATTCTTAGGAGCAACAAAAGAAGTTGAGAGACAACATTTGTGGTGAAGAGGTTGTCAATAAATAATGTAGCGAGTGCTGGCTTAAGGATAAGGTCATTAAGGAGACTCCTGAGGCTGCCTTTAGTCAAGGCTCCCTCACTATTAGGAAACCCTTAACTAATTACCCATGACAAATCTTCACATGTTAAAGTTAATCCTATTAAATAGGCTTGTCTTCTAATTTGTCTTCCATAAGATTTGGTAATCTTTTTTTAATTTTGTAATTCAAGTAATTAAAACGTTTGTTGAGTCACTTCCAATAAGCTTATCTGTTTAGTTTAAAAGCAAAAAAGAAATAAAAATAAAAGAACAAACTAAAAATATAAGTGTAGCTATTGAATATGTATGCCCTTTTTTTTTTTTTTTTTTTTTTTTTTTTTTTTTTTGTGGTAAAAATGCACTTATTGTTCTTGTAACTAAAGAATGTCCTATTAAAGCGGTCTTAATTTACTCTCTCTCCTAAGAAGTTTTCCCTTCACTACTTTTCCAAAATCAGCGGATCATATCTAGTGTCTACTCTCTAGAACGTGTGTTACTGTAAAAATGATCTATATATAAAATGAAAAATGTTTTTTAACCCCATGAATTATAACGAGATGTTTACTATTTCAGTTGATATTATTTAAAATTGTACATTATCCTATTTTAGGTGTGAAATAAGAACACCTACTTTCTGGGAAAAATCTACTTTGACTAATATTAGCTATGACTTGGTGACTTTTTTTTTTTAAAAGGATAAAAATGAAAAAGAATAATTATGCAGCCAATTTTACTTTTGGTTAAAAGAAAACAGAATTCATTCAATATTTATATATATATATATATACATATATAATTGTTATTGGGTTTTTGGATATTAAATCATTATCATAAGAAATAAATTATTGAACAAACTTAATAAAAATTTGATTAAAAAATAGCAATCCAACATTGTACATTACTGTCCATGTACTTTTTTTTTTTTTTTTACATCTTACCAAATAATTTGCAAAGGATAAATTCATCAAAGACATCTGACTCACATTTCTCGATTTTTTTTTTTCTTTTTTGAGGTGATAAGAAATTTTCAATAATCAATAGAGAAAATTGTTGAAACAAAGAGCAAAAACAATAGAAGAATACAAAGATTTTAACGTGGTTTGGCAATTTCACCCATGATCACGGATTAGGAATACGCTCACTCGTTCATTTACTAATAATTTTATAAACAATTGTACATGGGTATATATAGGGATGATTTCTCAGAATATAATCTGTGAATCAATCAATCAGGATAAATTAAGCTGCCAATTAGCCAATCAATCAATCCCTTATAATAAACCCACAAAATATGTTCAAACAAAAATATTTGCAATATTTGTGTTAAAATATAAAATTATTGTTAGCCCACTCTTAATAGCTTAAGTTTTGGGGATAGATTGGTAAATTAACTTGGTATCAAAAGGGGAGGTATTGAATTCAAACCTTTGTAATTACACTCTTTATTCCTATTTAAATTGTTACGCATGTTGGGTCCTGTAGATTAGTAAACTATCAGTGGAGGAGCAGCGCAATCATGTCAATCAAATTTCATTTTATTTTGACATTTATAGAACAATTTAGAGAAAGAAACCATAATTAGGAAGCAAAGTTTTTTAATAATTTTATTTTATTTTATGTTCATATAGCAACCAGAGTAGTAGTATGTTTAGGTTTTCCATGTTGCGTATTTATCAATTGATGTGGCAACAGCATACAGTATCTCAGTGACCAAACGAAAGCTCCTATCTAAGTCAGACAGCGTATTGTCAAAAAGCTATAAGGAACAATTGGATGAATGTGTTATACGTTAAGAGTAAAATATGCGAGTCTCACATTATTTAAATATAAACATAACCATAACTATATAAAGATATTGAGTCATTTCATTTAAACAGATTAACTTTTTAAGATAAAAGATCATTGCAATTTTTCTCCCCCACTTTATACCCGAGTCCCACTATATTTGATCATGTTCTAAGCTACATTTGTTGTCGATGTAACAAATTCCTTCTAATAATTACGAGAGTGCAATTTTAAATTAGCCACGCCAGCAGAACAGTAATTATATTTCACCAACCGCCAACCAAGGAGAGGCAGAAACAACTAATTGAAACCAAATATGTGCCTGTCCTTCCTAAACACCTGCAGAGGATTCTACTCAAAAAATAACGCTCATATTCTATCAATCCCATATTTTTGTAACAAATTAACAAAGTTATTTACACAAAATTATTCTCAATCTATTTGAAAAGGCACAAGTTTAGTATTACCACATACTTTCATCGACCTTATCATTTATTATCTTCTTCTTGCCCTAAAATAACAACAAGAAGTGGCTGCTTAATACGAAACTAATCTCAAAATGAATTCATTTATCTTCAAAAACAAGATAGAAACAAACAATTTACACATTCATGTATCAAAAATTTGAATTATGAAATGTATTCAGTCATGAGCGCTAGAGCTTTAATGCAATTTTTCTCTTCAATTAAAGTTCTATTAATATGTGAGCCATGTATATTGGAGCATATATTGTCTACAAATCCAATTAGCTTGGAATAATGCGATGCCATCTTTTTCAGCAATTCCATCATAATTAATACAAGCTTGACACTTTATATGAGAACGGTTATATAACCCTTTTTTTTTTTTTTAAGGAAATAACATTTTTTTAGTTTGAGGAATAAAATGGAGAAAAGAAAGGGAACCTTATGTGTTCGAAAATTCATAAGTAGCAGTAATATATAATAAAACACAAGAGAAAGACATGTAAATATAGTATATTGATGCAAGAGCTTGAGCTCTCCCCTACCAGCTTGGCTCTTGTCTTCTCTAATTACTCTTTTATATAATAACTAGTATTGCGCAAATTCATTTAAAATAACAATTACACAAATTGTTTAAAAAAGAGAGAAGAAAGAAAAAAATTCATAAAAGAAATGAAACAAAAGCAGGAAAATATTTGAAACAAAAGACAGGAAAAACAGTTGCATCAGCTCGTCTTCTCTAATTACTCTTTTATTTAATAACTAGTCTTGCGCGAATTCATTTAAAATAACAGTTATACAAATTATTTAAAAACGAGAGAAGAAAGAAAAAAAGGCATAAAAGAAACGAAACAAAAGTAGGAAAAGATTTGAAACAAAAGACAGGGAAAACAGTTTCAACTTATTTTGTTTATTTAAAATTAGATCTATTTTGTTTTGTTTGATGTATTTTATTATAGCACTTTTTTGTTTAAATTTCTTTGTTATTCAAATTACTTATAATATTTTCATCCGAGCAGCATCAGAAATTTAGTGCAAAACAGTGTTAAAATGGACAAAACCGGACTACATATCAACAATTCTTTTTCTTTTTCTTTTTCTTGTAAGTTTTTGTTTAGTTTTAGTCTTAAACGCACGCTACGCAAGCGTGATTAATTTAAAATAATAGCTATACAAATTGTTTATAAAAAAAGAGAGAGAAGTAAAAAAACGACACAAAAGACATGAAAACAATGACGGGAAAAAAGTGTTAAGCAAAGGCATATGGAAAAAAAAATGTTAACTTATTTTATTATGTTTTAAATTAATTCAATTTTATTTTGTTTAATTTTTCTTTTATTTAATTTGGTGCGATTTTATTTTATTCTAGTGTATTTTTGTTTAATCTTATTTATTATTCACAGTATTTTTATGAACCGAAAATTTAGCGCAAGACGGTGTTAAAATGGAAAAAATTGAATCACAAATTAGCACCTTTTTTCTCTTTTAATTTTTGTTTAGTTTTAATTGTAGCGCGCATAATTAATTTAAAATAATGATTATACAAATTATTTAGAGAAAAAAAAAAGAAAGATGTAATAAAACAACATAAAAAAATAAAAAAAATAACAGGAAAAAAATCTTAAGCAAAAAATAGAAAGAAAAAATTTTAACTTATTTTGTTGTGTTTTAAATTAATTCTATTTTATTTTGCTTAACTTGTTTTTTATTTAATTTAGTGTGATTTTATTTTATTTTAGTGTAGTTTTGTTTAATTTAATTTTATTCTTTATAGTATTTTCATCTCAATAGTATTAGAAATTGACACGTGTTAAAATAACAAAATCGGATTTCAAATAAATTAAAAATTAATAAGTAATGGTTACGATCAGGAATATTTTCAGGCTGTGGGATCAAAAAGAATGGTTACGATCTAGCGCGTGAGCTACACGAGAAGAGAGGCACGCGTCCCAGAGGGAAGGGCACAACCGCATCAGCGTGCAGCAGGTGGGCCCATTACTCTCTCCATCTGGCCAATCACAAGGCTACGCGTGGTACTGCGGCCACTCAGAAGCTGCACCGACTCATCTGCTGCGAGCTACATGAGCTCTTTTTTTTTTTTTTTTTTTTTTTTTTTTTTTGGCGTTAATGATACATTGACACCGCACCTAATTCTTTTCTCCAAAAAGAAAAACCTTTTCTCAAGTAAATTGTGGGCAGAGAAACTGACAAAACTTCCCAGTTCCCCCCACCCCCACAAAGGGCAAAAAACCAAAAAAAATAAAAATAAAAATTCAGATTGTTCTTTAGTTATTATAGGTAAGTTAGCTAACCATTTGAAGACACTTTCTTGCCCAGTTTGATATTGATGTACTTTAAAAAGTATTATTTTTACTTAAAACAAAAGTAGAAGTAGAAGTATGATCTAAAAACACAAATTTTAACATCTAAAAATAACTCAAAAAATGCATTAATTTTTGTGTAAAATGTTTTTGTATACTTTTACTAAACAATTTAAGTAAATCGTTTATTATGTATAGTACTTTTAGGGCCCGTTTAGTTAACTAATTTGAGTTTTTAATTCGAGTTGAGATGTGACTTTACGTGAGAATTTTTTACTATAGTAAAAAAAATTAGATGTGACTATTTCTGATAACTTTTTACTGTAGCAAAACTCGAATTCAAACACACTCTATGTCGTTTTTACTTGTGCTTATGTTGCACATCGTTGAGGTCTTCAATGACCTATGAGTTGAGCTTCTCGTATTGGCTGAGCTCCTCCTAGGTGAGTTATATTATTATGTTCTTTGTTGAAGCTGTACGCTTCTTGATGGAGTGATGAATGAAACTATCCTTGTGCTCCATTATTAATGCGACTCTTCTTGATTTCTAGATTTGAAACGTGATTGAAATATTCCTCCAATTTTTCTTGGTTGGAAACGTTGTTTTCCTGCTGTCATATATCTAGTTCCACCTGAAGTGTGCTCCATTATTGTGCTCCAAGTCATATATATATATATATATACATATAGAGGGAGTCCAACATCCCATATGCATGATACATATATATATATATATATGTTTATATTGACACAAAATTACATATTGCAAATGACATTACATATATATCTCAAATACAAACCTAGTATATATGTCATACATTGCAATTAGTAATTAAGAATGATAAGTTGGTAGCATTAAAATTTCAAATACAAAATAGAGAATAATTTATACGATATGTACCATACATATCATTTGTCAATACTGTCCAAATAGTACTAGTACTACTCAAAGAACCCATCCTTGGATAAAGTTAGTCTCAGACCCTGCCATGCCCTTTGGAATAGTGCTGGATGTTCCCTCATGATCAACTGCTACATACTGATGGTATCTGTTCAAATTGCAAGATTGTTGTTTATAAGTCTAATAAAATTTCAGGAATATTTATGCTTCAACTTCAGCTAGGTTCAAATGAATATTGTAATTTCTTACCATACAATATTTGGGATGGTATTGAAAATAGATAATAGTACCTTCATCATCATGTAGTCAGTATGCTTACACGTGATCAATAATTAGTATCCAAAAATTTGTATATATCAGACTTCACGGATTAATACATAAACAGATTTTTTAACGCTTACGGCTTCTAAAAAATTAGTACCTTTTTAAATTCAAGCTGCATATATACCCAAATATATATATATAGAAGTCATTTGTTATGCTTTAATTTAATTACCCTATTTGTAAGATGGGTTCTGGTGGCTGGCAATCCATAGTAATGTTGCTTTGAGAAGAACTATGCAAAGCAAAGTTGCTGCTTCCAGCTGCTACATTAGAGCTCCATAAGCTTTGAATGGCTTTAAGGTTTTGCCCTTCTGCCTCGAGCTGATCAAACAAATGTCACATAATACAACATGAGTCATTATAATATTGTATATATATATATATATCAGACGTATCAACAACAATTTGGTACAACCTTAAGCTTAAGCTGCTTGTTAAGGTCCCCAAGCTGACGCTCCTGCCAAAATGGTAATTGGAGAACTTGTTCACAAATTAAGAGCTATTTTGATGCTAGTACAAACTTCTAAAACTATACTACTTGGGAAATATTTGGAAGGAATATAAAATCAACACAAAGATATGTACTGATGAAAAGGAAAACGTACCCAACTCGGAAATCTTTAGTGCACTATATATCAAAGAGAGGGGAAAAACCAGTCTTAAATTGAGTTTATTACTTAGACATGGTACGTCCCAAAAATGGGCAGTGACATAATAAAAATGTTTCTGAAACTAGTTCTACTAATGTTAATTTAAAAATCAGTTACCCGCTTTTAGAGTTAAGCAACCTTGAGTGCTTATAACAAAAATTGCCATATGAGCCACATGTAACAAGATGAAACAGCAAACAAAACTACTAACTTTCATTCCAAAAAAAAAGGAAGAGAGAGAGCCACATATAACAAGATTAAACAGCAAACAAAACTCATTAACTTTCATTCAAGAGAGAGAGAGATATATATATATATATAGAGAGAGAGAGAGAGAGCCACATATAACAAGATTAAACAGCAAACAAAACCCCTCACTTTCATTCAAAAAAAAAAAAAAGGAAGAGAAGAGGACGCTAAGGAACCGGTTGCATACAAAAACCTAACTCCTAATAGACCCTATCTATAAGTTTTCTCTGCAATATTTGAATACTATTTTTTTTTTTTTTTGAGATAAAATATATTTGAGTACTATTGCAAGTTATTTATTTGTATTCAAGGATAGAACAACAAAGTTACTGCTAAAAGATAAACATATACTAGGCCCAAGAGAGAAGTCCTACAAAATTCATGAACATTGAGGATTAACTTGTTAAATAAGAAGGTTAATTAGATCCAACTTGATCGTGTATAGGGACATATAGTATAATATACATGACATCTTTCTTACCTTTTTCCTCAGGTCTTCTACTTGCTCAATCATAATCTGCATCTGCGGTTAAGAACAAACAGAACTTAAAATTAGAAAAACAAATAAAACTAAAATTTTCTGAGTCACATAATTGACTAATTCGATTATATCGTGGGATTTGCAGGGAAAGACAAAAAAAATAATATCTGAATCTTCTTCCATTAATATTACAGCTTTCACTCTACTATACGAGCTACTAGTAGGGTATTTATGAGTTAGCTACAAATTTTGATTTAGACAAATTTGAAAAGACATTTAAAAAGAAATTTGTGGGGTAATTAGTTGTATTGTATTTGGCTACCATAGAGGTCATTGCAGAGATGCCATAATGAAAAATTAAGGCACAAAATATGTTCCTTTATTTATTTCTTTCTTTTTTTGCTCAACTTATGTTTATTCAAAATACACACACAACCCCACGTATATACTTGTAGACAACATGACCTATACATAAAATTGGCAATAAGCACTGCAGCTTTCCAGATTAAAAAAGGTTTCTTTCTGTATAGAAAGAACGTTTCAAAATGATCCAACATTATATTTTACCTTCCTTTGTCTAGCTTGTGCAAGAGCTCCTTCAAGCTGTTTTTCAAGATTTTGCAACTCTTTAACATTGAGTGGTCCAAGATCTTCACCAAGAAAATGCCTTAGGGATTTTGCAAGATTTATAACAATTAGTAAAAGAAAAGAAAAAGAAGATCTTACGATTCAAAGAACTAAAAACGAAGATAACCTTTGAGTGCGCTGAAGAGACTCATATTTGGCTTTTAACTTTGTAACCTCCTGGTACCAGCTCTGCATTATTAATGATAAATTAACCCAAAGAAAAACTTAAGACACACTTAATTACAAAACATAAAAAACAGTGCAATAAGAAAATAAAATTTGTATTAGATTGTACTGATGAAAATTAATACAAAAGCAGAACCAATCAGCCCCGTAGAAGAGAACCTATCATACACGACTAATATTAAGTGTATGCATATATAGAACTATTTGTTAGTAGTCATTATAAGAAATCACACAAGAAAAATAATTATCTTCTTTTATTTTATTTTTCAATATCTATTTGAAGGGAATTGACCATTGCAACGGTACTTTCCTACATGCATAACTCATTTAAGCAAAAGATGTATCACAACATGAAAAACTTCCACCATGAAAAATCATTAAGCTAACAAAAGGGATGAATACTAATTAGTAGACTCTTCATGAATGTTTTATTCTAGTATACATTTGAAAAGTTCTTCAATAAGTACTTGGTTTGTAAACACTATGCTAAATATGAGAGATAAACACGAAAAGAAATAGCAAGATCAAAATTTAAGGAAATTAAATATCTAACATATATATATATATATAAGAACAATTTTTCTTTTGATAATTAGCTTCGTATGTAAAAGTAACTGTGATAATGTGAATAGAAATCTAGTAACATATAAAGTAATGTAACTATTAAGTGAACTACTGTACTGGTACGTGGTAGAGAAAATTTGGAAAACCAGACCTGTGTTTCGCGCTCAATAAGGCTGGTGTCTTGAGGAGTAAAAGAGCAGCGTTGGTACCGCTCAAGGGTTTTGGTTATACTGTGCAAAAGAAGAATATGTTATTAATTAGCGAATTCATAGTTGAGCCTTAATCATTTTTGTTACTTAACATACGAAAATTAAACTCAAAAACATCAGTTTTGAGATAAGTGTATGCAACAGTGCAACTGCTGTTCTAATCAAATTAAACAACCTAGTTTGCATTTAGAAAAAATTAACTAAAGGATATTCTTTTCTTTTTTGTTTTTTTTTAACTTGAGCACGAGGGGATTTAAACTCTACACTTTATGGTGGCCTAATCAAGAGTGGAATTACCGCTACGCTATGCTCACAACCATATCAAGTAAAGAATATTTAAATGCGACTTATAACTTATAAATCCTTAAAACCAACTTATATACCTCAAAAAAAAAAAAAAAAAAAACTTATTTGGACTCTGATAGTAAACATATATTTCTCATTAATTAATGGATATATGGCACGAACTTTAAGCATGAAAAGATTCTAAATTTCTAGTATATGCAATTCATTATATTTTCAATTTCTTTAATTTTTTCGAATTAAGCGCACATAATAGTACTACTAGCTAGTCATCAATATAAATTAAAGATATGGTTAGAACTATATGTTAAGCGCAATTTGGTGTAGGCAATTAATTAATCCTTTTTTTCTTCAGAATACAGATATTGCCCTTAGTATATATTGCTCTCTGTTAGATATTGAAACTCTTTATTACTTCACATTTGTACATATTATATATATAACAAAAGACAAATAAGTAATAGTGCATATATATATATATATATATATATATATATCCGAGCTTCAAAGTTATTATAAAGACTTTCGTCGTGATCTCTACACTTACCTGATATATACACACTTATACACATACATTTAATACTATTGTTAAAACCGTGGAATGGTCTATATACTTACCGTATAAATGCATACATACACATATAGATATACATTTCATAGTAATACACGCACTATCACACTCATATATGTGTGTGTGTGTGTGACTAACACACTATATACGTTCTTAAAGAAAACGCACCATATATGCGCATCTTTACATATAAAAACAATCAAATCTGCTGAAAGGATCTGGGTATAATCTCAAACCGTCATTGAATTAACCTACAAATATACAGGCCTCTAGGAGAGATGAGTCCGGAAGACTCGGATTTTCTTTTGTTAATTTTTGGACTAGAAAGAGAAAGGAAAACACAAAGATAATCAAGAGAACACATGAGAAGAAGTGATGGGCCCGTTTGTTTGCGTTTTCGTTTTCGTTTTTTACGGTTTTCAAAGCAAAAAAATGAAAACGGGTGTTAAAAACGTGTTTGGTGCAATTTTTTTTAAAAAACAAAACCAAAAATGTTTTTGTCTTTTTGTGGAAATCAGAAAACGAAAAAAAGGTGTTTTCATTTTCTTGTTTTCGTTTTCTGTTTTCTGAAAAACGGATTTCACTTTTTTTTTTCTTTTTCATTTTCTTCCCTCTTTTCTGAAACCGTTTTTGTATTATATATGTTTATTTAATATATTTATTTAATATATTATTATTTAATATATTTAATAATATTATTTATATAATATATTTAATAATATTATTTATTTAATATATTTAATATATTATTTATTTAATATATTTAATAATATTATTTATTTAATATATTATTACATGTTTTCAAAAATTAAACCACCAAACGCAGTTTCAGTTTTTTTTAAAATTGAAATCAATCTCTAAATAAAATTACCAAACGCATTTTTAGAAATAATTCAAAAATGAAACTAAAAACGTTTTCATTTTCATTTTCGTATAGAAAATAAAAACGTTTTGGAACCAATTCCAAACGCACCCGATAATACTGTAAAGATTTTCAATAATCAAGGGAAACAGCAGTAAAACCAAAAGATCTTAGGACCAAAAGGAATGAAGACAAGATTTTCCAGTTATCGAAGAATTGGAAATGATTGCGGCTAGAAAAGTTAGACAATGGTCCGACTCCGAGAGAGAGAGAGAGAGTTTCCTTGTATTGACTGACTGACATGTGAGAGTTTTTTTTTTTTTTTTGCTGAAAGTAAAGAAAGAAAGATCGCTTCTCCCACAGTAGGACTGTTCCATCAGGAATTGCCGAAGCCATCAAAAACAAGAAAAGAGGACGACAGAGAGAGAGAAAGTTTGAAAGCTTGAAAGGACGGCGAAACGTGTCGATCCGTGATTGATGATGGCTGGAATATTTGCTGATCTGAGAAATGAGAGAGACACACACACAAAAACATAAGAAACTCGGTCTTCGATCTACTCATGATCCAAAGTTTTCATTTCCTGGAAAGCCAGTTTAGAATGATTGAGAGAGCCAATTGCAATATAAGCACAAGAAACAAAAAGAAAAATAAGAATAATAATTTGAAAAATAAAAAAGAAGAAGAAACAACCACAGATTCATCATAATGGAAGAGTAATAGATGTCAGAGACTAGGTTTGAAGAGAGCGTTTTGTTCTGATAAAGTTACTAGAGAGATAGTGACGAGATTTGGAGGAAAACGCAAAATGGTAGTTGTCAAAATGGCTGTAAAATTACTAGCTAAGGATCAACCAAGAGTAGTAATGCAGAAATTTAGAGCGGGAATAATTAATATAGTAATAATAATATTATTATTATTATTAATAAATTTCAGCATGAAGAACACCAATAAACCCAAACAAAGAAGAAAAAAGTAAAAAGACCAGTTTAGTAAAAGGGTAATTAGATTTCTATGTTTTCAACAGATCCAACTAGCTGAAAATCTAGATCAATGAAAAGAAGAAAAATAAGCCCAAATAACCTTAAAGCAAAAAAAAAAAAAAAAAAAATGCGTTCCTTAAAAAGACCAAAACAAAATGAGGATCTAAAGATTAAAAAAAAAAAAAAACATATTAATTAAAGAGCAACAATATTAACAAATCATGACATTAACAGGTTCATACAAATGACAAGAAGCTTTTATAAATACCCACAAATCTATATGCCGAAGAAACAAAAAGCAGCAACAATTTTTGTGTCTTAGGGCAAATAATAATGATCATAAAAAGCATATATCATGTGTTTAAACCTTATGATTAAAAAAAAGCTCATGTAATGAGAGAAAAGGAGAGGTTGATTTGTACAAGAAAGAGCTAGAAATTAGAAAAGAGAAAATATTATGCACATATATATGTGTGTGTGTGTGTATATATGTAGTAATATTTACCCTGCGCTTCCAAACTCATAGAGCTTGCCCCTACTAGAGAAGACGATGAGGGCAATTTCGGCATCACAGAGGACAGAGAGCTCTTGAGCTTTCTTGAGCAAACCATTCCTCCTCTTTGAGAAAGTCACTTGCCTGTTGATCTTGTTCTCTATCCTCTTCAGCTCCACTCTTCCTCTCCCCATTATATTATAGCCAATTTAAGGGTTACACTATTTATATATATATATATATATATATATATACACACACACGTTGCTATGTGTGTATATGTGCAATGATATATATGAACTTGTTTTCTTTTCCTTTGTATTTTTTTTTTTTCTGTTCTGGGGTTTGCACAAAAATGGAGCTGTTGGTGAAAATGGGCTAAGACGTCTGAGACTGAGAGATGAGTGGGAGTTAGAAGGGTGTTTATATAGAAATAAAGAGAAAGAGAAGGAGATAGAGAGAGAGAGAGAGAGAGAGAGAGAAATAATTGACATCTAAAGCACAAAGCGCACCAGAATATTTTGTCTTTGTTTTACAACAAAATGGAAAAGAACCATAAATTCTTTCGTATGTTTTCTCCTTCTACTTTACCGTTTTTATTTTTGGCAAAAGCTCTCTATTTTCTCTGAGATATCAGGCTTACCTTCAGTGTGAGGGTAATGGAAGGTTCGTCTCCACTCGCTTGCTTGGACCGTGAGCACCACGCCTTCTCACATGGTTGTTATATTTATGTGAACATGTTATATTTGTTGGCTTAAAAATGATATGATGAGCATGGAAATTCGGGAGTAAAATCTGAAAATCAATTTTTTTAAAAGAAAAAAAGGAAGAAGAAATTATCATCATGTCTTGACTATGTTTTGTCCTAGTTGTGTAATTAATTAGTATTTTTAAACTTGCAATAATTGAATTAAGAATTATCACTAATCACTAATTAATGATCTATTTATGTGAATACGCCAATGTGTTATGCATGGTCAATATAAATTTTCTCTTTTTTCCTGTGCGTGTGTGTGTGGTTTTGTTCCTAACTGATAGGTTTGGAGTTTTGATTTTATTCATGGAGTGACACAACCTACTTTGACCCGTTTTATTCTTTTTACTAACAAAAATCACCCATAAAAAAGACATCTTTTTATGTGATTCCATTGACCCTTTGAATTTCCTCACTTTTTGTTTTTAATTCTTTCTTTTTTTTTTTCTTTTTCACTTTCAAGAGTACTTTGGTGTGTTTTTTATTCAAATTCCACTGTTGACAGATAGTATAAAATACAACGTGTTATAGCTTTTGTAAGGATTTAAAATCAAGGGTATAGTTTTTGAATTAACCCTAAAATAGAGGGTAAAAACAGGAAGAAAAAAAAAGACCTAATAACAAATCTAATAAAGTGCCTTAATTTCTAATCTAATCAAACTTTTATACTGATTAAAAACTTGGTCAATCCATTTTTAGCAAATATTTTGCTTGAATTTAGACGGATAAATACAATAGGTCTCTCGAGTGAAGCAAGAGACGATAGTACCGCAGTAACATCTGATATGTGTGTTTTTTTTTTTCCCTTCCCTCTTGAGAGGGTTTCTCTGAATATATATAATGCGGTTTCAATTTATTGGAAAATACTATCTATTTCTTTTTCTCTTTTTTTTTTTTTTTTTTTTTTTTTTTTTTTTTTTTTTTTTCCTTGTTAGGGTGGTTATGAAAGGATCATAAGGATAGGCCAATTCTTCTTTCTTTCTTTCTTTCATTTTTTTTTTTCTGTTCGTGAGGTATATAGGTCAAATTTTTTATGTTGTTATAAGAACTATAAAATAAGAATAAAAAGCCCTTAAAAGAAAAGATATCAACCAGTGTATTTATTAACGTTTTCTATATATGATTTGGACAAATGATCATATATATGGGAGAAATTATTATAAGCTTGCAGACTCAGACTTCATGTACTCTAAGATACATAAACAAATATACTGTTCGTCCCAAACAAATATACTGTACTCTAACATACATAAACATATATATATATATATATATATATGTTGAAAGAGGGAGAGAGAGAGGGATAAGAATATCAATAAAACCTAAACCAAGCTGAAACTGAAAAGCTCAAGAAACAGACAAAGACGAAGGATGAAATTAGAAAAACTAGGAGCCACAAAAGTAAATTTTCTTTGGGAACGTGTACATGTAATGGTCCTAATGGATCGTGCATTTTGCAAGAAATCAGTACATGATAAGTACTGCGAGCTGCACCTCTATGGTTTCTTTGGAAGTTGCCAAATGTTGAGCTCATTTTATATGTGTGGTGCCTAAAGCTTTTTATTCTTCACACTAATATATTTCAAGTACTAGTTGACAAGTACTGCTAATTCTGGTTCTTGGATGATGAAAAGCCAACACTAATTATGTACTGCTCTCGTACAATATACCACTTTATAGAATCCATGCACTAGGATGCATGTGAATTTTTCTTCTTTTTTTTTTTTTTGAAAACTAAATGTATTCCAAATCAAAGAGGTACAAACACTAACGCCAACTCAAATGACTTTACAATACAAGAGAACTTAACTCCAATCATTGACCAGTATCACCAGTAAATCCAAATGAAACGCCTAAGGAGAGTAACTGTGCACCTAGCTCCAACAACAGAAAGCTGAAAAGGCACGCTAATAATCGAGCACACATACACCTCTTTAAACAACTCTTCTACAATTGATAGAAGACTCCAATCGATTGAGGTTAAAAGACCTACAAGACAAAAGTCACCCACAACACCGTGAAGAACAACTCAAGCAAGTTTAACTAAAAATAAAAGGTGGGGAGACTACCTCTGTTATTACAATACTGAAACAAAAATAATAAAACAAAACATAAATTCTAACGGGCAGAATAAAAAATAGTATTAAAAATTAAAATATATTATTAATTAATTAAACAAATAAAGTACATATTTGTTACATTAAAGTTAACAATAATAATTAGGTTAATATTTTAATATTAGGTAAATAAAATAATAAATATATGTTGTAATTATTATTTTTTGAATTTTATATTTATAAGTAAAATAAGGGTATTACATTAATTTAATATTAATATTAAGAATGAGAGTCCTTGTAGTGACCAAGAAAAATCCCATAATTTTAATAATATAATTCATGTATTCAAGTCAAAGATTTTCCTGAAAAATCATTATACTATGTACATTTTGTGATTGAAGGATTTAGGGAATTAACATCTGCATTCCTAAATTCTGTAGCAGATTTCACGTTAAGTTCACATTTTTCCGATCAAGTAAATTCGATCGATAAATTCTCACCGTACTTTAAAACGGAAGAATTTCCAGTATAGATACAGTTAGAGAATCTTAATTTTAAGAATCTCCCAGCACAGTACAACCTAGCATCCAGAACCCGTATACAGGAGAAAATAACTGTCAGTATGATTTTGGACAGTTTTAATGAGTAAGTTAAGGGAATGGGCAAAAGTACAAGGTGTAGGTTAGTGTGTGTGATTTGATGAGATGTGATGAGAGAGGTGAATAGGACTAATGATTAGTTTTTTTCTCCTTTTTTCTCTTCACTTGGGCGGCCATCCTTAGGAAGTTATATCCAAAAATTTTGGTTATATGTTGAGTATGTTAGAAGGCTACAAGTTAAGGTGATGGGATGGTAGTGGTTGAAGGGGAATTAATGGCAATTTTGGCTTCTCCTTTTCTCCTTCCATAACCGGCCAAGATTGGGGAAAATTGAACCAAAATTTGGTTGATTGAGAGAGTTGATGTGGTGTTAAAAAAAATAAGTGCCAATTGCCTATAAAATGAACCACCATAGTATAATCCTCATTTTTTTTCCCTATCC